TTGGCTAGGTCTGATTTGGGGCCCACATAAGGCCCATCATAAACCCATCTGGGCAAACACACTTGGGGCCACCATGGAAACTGAGGACAAAAATAGCCGGGGCCCAGTTGGGTTGCTCAAATGGGCCCCAAATATCAGCCCAGCTACTCCCCATTTGGGCCCCACGTGCGTGTTGGCTGGGGCGGGTGTAAATGTTGCTGCATCAATTTCTGCCAGTAAACTTAAACAGATGTCAGATGCAAGAACTTCTTTGTTGGCTATTCTATCTTCACTCCAATACCTTTCCTGTCAGGGATTGGCCATCAGAGGAAGCACAGATGAGGAGTCCAATTTGACCCAGTTACTGCATTTACGTGCCCAGGATGTTCCAGAGTTACAGTCATGGCTCGCACGTAAGGAGAGCAAGTGGTGGCTCTCACATGACATTTTAAATGAGATGACAGAAATTATGGCTCATGATGAACTGAGAACACTAATAGAAGAAATCAAGTCTGCGGAGTTTTTGTCTGTGATAATGGACAAAACCGCTGACATTTCAGTCAGAGAGCAGGTGTCAATTTGTTTTCGTGTCGTGTATGAACATCTGGATCCAGAGGAACATTTTATTGGATTTTATGAGACATCAACAACTACAGCAAATGCGTTGTTTCAGCTGCTAAATGATGTTTTGGTGAGATTCTCACTACCACTTCAGAAATGCAGAGGACAATGCTATGACGGCGCATCAAATGTGTCTGGCATTAAAGCTGGTTTGCAAGCGCACGTGCTGGAACGGGAACCGCACGCACAGTATGTGCACTGCACTGCACATCTGGTGAATTTGGTTGTGCCTGATGTGGCACAAAACATTCATGCATGTCGCAACGTTATGACTCTCATTCGTGAGTTAATAACCCTGATCAGAAACTCACCAAAACGGCTCGCCTGGTTCCAAGAGTTTCAAGCTAAAGACGTACCATCTTTAAAGCCTCTGTGTCCGACGCGCTGGACTGTGAATGCGGCCTCTTTGCAATCCATTTCCTCCAACTACAGTGCATTAATGGAGTTTCTAGAGGACCTGAGTTCAAACGAAAAAGGTGATGCAGGGGGTAAAGCCAGTGGTCTGCTTGTGCACCTGCAGAAATTCGGGACTTTTTTTCTTTGAAGCTCATGCTTAATTTTTTTCTCTCGCATGGAAACAGTCAATGTTGCTCTCCAAAAGCGTCAGCTGCACATACAGAGAGCAAGGGAAATGATTGACACACTCCGAGGTGACATGAAAGCCCTTCGGGAAAGTTTTGCTGTTTTTTGGGAAAACACCACTGCTACAGCTAAAGACTTGGGTTTGGAGAGCCCGGTTTTGCCCAGACCAAGAAAAATTCCCCGCCGACTGGAAGACGCAGGTGCGCTGCCGCACAGCTTTCAGACACTAGAGGAACTATACCGACAATAGTATTTTCAGGTTATGGACACAGCATCAGAATCCCTGGAGTACAGATTTAGTCCATTTGCATTCAAAAACATGCAAGATGTTGAAGATTTTGTCACCGGTAAAAGCAACTGCAAGAACATTGTACAGTTCCACCGGGATGATTTGGATGAAACCCAACTCACACTGCACCGATATGTGCATGGACATAGCAAAACAGCGAGGAGTTTCCTTGGCTACCTTTCAGGATGTGGTGAACTTTCTCAAAGGGGACCAAGGAGATTATTTAAGAACGCTGTTGCCAGAGGTGACAAAACTTGTGAAACTTGCACCGACTGTCCCTGCCACTTCATGCACTTCTGAGAGGTCATTTTCTGGCCTCCAACGCCTGAAAACTTATCTGCGATCCACAACAGGTCAAGCAAGGCTGAACCACGTTGCAATACTGAACTATCATAAGACTTTGTCAAGAAATAGGAACCTGGACAAAATTGCAGACCAGTTCATAAAACGCACGGCTACCAGGGGCAGCACATTTCTCATAAAGAACTAACAAAAATGGTGAGTGACAAACCAACAAATTAAATGTTTATGATAAAGCCTAATGTGTTTTAAATAATTTTGAACTGTGGATTTGGTACATATTTTGTTTTTATTTGAGCCTTTTTGCTACAGTTTTGGTGGTTTTGATCAGTTTTTTTCCTGGTGTGTTGTTAGCAAAACTTAACTAACAAGCATATTTGTTTGATTTAAAGCCAGTTGTGATTATTATTTTTGGGTTGTGCTTGATGAATAATGTAACCTAGTTGCTGATGATTTTGTAGACTCATGCCACTGACTTTCAGCACTGCAGATAGTTCGATTTAGGCTTCTTTGTTGCTGTTCGATCCAGGCTGTGGTGTGGGATAGTGAATTTTGTTTTTCCATTGCATTCTTCTGAGTCTTTTGCTATATGTTTTACTGACACCTCATATGCATCACTAATGTATAGTGTGCACTTGTGAAAGAGAGAGAACGTGTCGTGTGTGTGCGTGTGCGCGCATGTCAGAATGAGCATGTGTTTATTGCCGCTGATTCTGTTAATTGAGTTTTTGTGTGTTTGCTGTGAGACCAATGTGTGCACTGCCAAAATAGCAAAGAGTCATGCAAACATGGTGAGCACCCACCAGGAAAAACATAAATCGGCGCCCCTGCTTCAATACAAACATAAATTGGCATGACTCACCTTTGACTCACCAATTATATACACTCACCGGCCACTTTATTAGGTACATCTGTCCAACTGCTCGTTAACACTTAATTTCTTATCAGCCAATCACATGGCGGAAACTCAGTGCATTTAGGCATGTAGACATGGTCAAGACAATCTCCTGCAGTTCAAACCGAGCATCAGTATGGGGAAGAAAGGTGATT